GAAAAGTCAGGAAGCACAAGATTGGGGGTGCGCAGGGGTACAGAGGGCAGGGACTGTGGTGGTGGTAGTACAGGGCAAACTAGTCTAAAGTCACTGAAAAGAGAAGCTAATGTAGCAAGAGGCAGGAGAGCTGGAGACAGCAAACTTTAAAAGGAGAGGGAGGAGGAGGAAGGTAGAAGCCATGAGAGGTCGATCAGGGCCAGAACTGCAATGAGGTCATGGGACTTGGCAGCTAGAGGCCCTTGATGACCTCTGAGTAGTGCACAGTCCACCCACAGCTTGTTGTCCAGAAGGCATCGTGAGTTCCTGGTGAGCCCAAGGGCCCAGCTGCCCGTCGGAGCAGGAACTCCTCCCAGGCCCAGGGCTGATGTAAACATTTCCGTGTCCCCAGGACCTGCTCCCCACTAACCAACAAGGTTTAGTAGAAAGAATAAAGCAAGTAGAATCGGAAGACTGAGGTTTTCTGTGTCTGCCACTTAACTAGCTACACGGCCCCAAGCAAGTCTCCTCACCACTCTGACCCATTTCCTCACCTGTAAAATGGGAACCTGCTGCAGACTTCTTCAGAGTGTTAAGAGGCCGTGACAAGTTATATAAAGCGTAAAGGACGGTAGGACTGTCTCAGCCTGTTAACACCACCACCGCTGCCACAGCAGACCCAGGGCTCCTACCCTCTGCTCATGATGCGCCCAGAGTGCTGGGCTCCCTCGCCCGTCTAAAGCCCTGCCCTCGATTCTCCAAGTGTCTTCACACAGGAAGCCAGGGGCCCAGCACAGCAACCGACCAGCTGACTAAACCCCTTCGAAACACAGGTGCCTAGAAACTCTAGAATAAGGCGGCAAGTACATCCAGGAGGTGTGAGGCCCATTTCTGCCAACGCCCCTCACCGGGGCCTCAGCAGAATGCACTTCTGCAGCGGTTTCCCTTCCTGTGAAATGAGTCCAAGCACAGTCTCCCTTCCAGGCAGCATCTGGAAGGGAGGATGGGAAGAGTAAAAGGAAACAAGAACCAAAGACCTGGAGTGCCTGGCTGGCTCAGTCAGTACAGCACGTGATTCTTGATTTCAGGGATCGTGAGTTCAAGCCCCATGCTGGGTGTGCAGGTTACTTAAAAAAATAAAATCCTAAAAAAAAAAAAACAAACCCCAAAACCCAGAACAAAACAAGAACCAAAGACCTGAAGCCGAGGAGGCAAAACTGGAGATGTAACCTGAGGAGTACCTGGTCAGTGACATCATACACCACAATGATGCCATGAGCCCCCCGGTAGTAGCTGGAAGTGATAGTCCGGAACCGCTCCTGACCAGCCGTGTCCCACTACAAGACAGCAGGAGAGAAGGGCAGGTCAGCGCCGGGCTACATGCCCAGAGCCCCTACCCCTCCCAAGGCGGCTGCCTCTGTACCAGGGACTGGGAAGAGCGACACTTACGATCTGAAGTTTGATGGTTTTGCCATCCAGCTCGATGGTTCGGATCTTGAAGTCCACCCCGATGGTGCTGATGTAGCTCTCCGTGTATGTGTCATCCTGGAAAAGGCAGGACCAACAAAATGGCCTAGGTGAACAGGCCCAAAGCCCATTTAGAAAATCTCCCTCCAGGTCCCTGCCCCGGCCAAGCTTTGTAACTGCTAAGCCCCCACTTTTAGCACCCCAACCTGCCAGCCCTGCGTCTTTGTTCAGTCAGAGATGTTACTAGAAGGTCCTGCGACTTCATCCTTGGTTCCAAGGTCTTGCAACCACTGTTCTCTGGGTTGCCCCCTCTCCCTCCTGCCACCAGCCAGGACCCCCGGTGGATGGTACGGGAGGCTTCTTACTCACAGCAAACCGCAGAAGCAGGCATGACTTGCCCACGCCCGAATCACCAATCAAAAGCAGCTTAAACAGGTAGTCACTAGAGAGAAAGGATGGGAAGGCATGAAGGAAGGCAGGGGGCCCACCCGTCATGCCATCCTACAATCACAACTACGGCTTTCTCCCACGCTGTGAGGCTTGCCTTGGTTCGGAGTATCTAGGTGCTCACAATATCCTCCCACAAGTCCTGGGAAGAATAGGGCTGACCACTCCCCATACTACAGCTGGCCCAAAGGACCGAGTCCGAATTTCCACTTTACAGAGAAGGAAACTGAGGCACAGAGAGGGAGGCACATAACCTACCAAGGATCACCATCATTAGGAGAAAAAACTGGGTGTCCTACCCTGACACCTGACAGACTCTGTAGTCTCTGGGCCAGTAGGGGCTAGTCAGGAAACCCCCGTCACTGCCCTGGGGCCGATCTGGCTTGGCAGGGGAGGTCCCAGAAATGGAAGCTAGGGCCCAGCCTAGAACTTGTTAAGTGGGTATCTATGTAAAGAGCCTGGTAGGAAGCCTCTAAGAGGTGGCGACCGAGTAGCAATGACCGCAGTTAAAATGCACTGCGTTCCTACTTTGCACTCAGCCCTATGTTAAACACTGCAAATGCCTTATCTCATTCAAGCCCCTCACATCAGCCCTCTGCAGTGGACGGTGTTACTCCCAACTAATGAGGAAACCAGAGGTCAGAAGAGGGAAGTGACTTGCCCTAAGTTACACAGCTGTTAACTTTAAGACTGGAAACCAGGTTCAGACTCCAGAGTCTCTGTGAGAGCCTGCTAGTTCCCTTCTGGGTCCCTTCTAATCGAGCTCAGAGCTTCTCCCTTCCCCAAGGAAATCTGAGGCCTGGATCTGGAGGAGAAATAGGAAGTGGCAGAAGAGGAAGACGACCACTGACACGGGGGGAAAACTGTCAGGAGAAGTCCGGGGCAGACATGTGGGCCACCTACCCGCAGGGGGAGTGACCAAGAAGTGAGGAGAGTCTGAGGTACAGAGAATCCCACTGGAAGGGGAGAAACAAATGCCACATTCATCTAAACTTCATCGGCAGCGTGACGGCGAAGGGAAGGGGTGTGACGGTGGCGCAGGGGGCCTGCACAAAGGTGAGGAGAAGGCGGGAAGGGACTGGCCCCCAGGAGCGCCAGGGCAGCTAGACCCAGCAAAGGCCGAAGCGGCAGCCCCTGAGGGGGAGGACCTCCGGGACAGCGACCCAGAGCACTCCCTCGGGGCCTCCCGCGACTGCCAAGCCCCGGGAACCGGATTCCGGGAGAACGGGAAAAACAGAAAAGATTTATTGTCAGACCTAAAGGGCCCGAGTCTGGACAGGCTCCAAAACGCCGGGACCGTCGTCAGCACCCAGACCGCCACTGCAAGCAGCAGGTGGGGAAACTGAGGCCTGGAGAGACCGAGGCTGCGGGGTCACCTGACCAATAGGCCTGTTAGGGATCGGTGCTTCGGGCTGAAGTAGTGCCCCTTGGGGTCGCAGTGTCTGGGTCCCGGGTGCAAGAACTCGGGGTGCCGAGCCGGGGTCCTGGGGCCCCCCGGGGGGAGGGGCAGGACCCGGATGTGGGGGGGGGGGGTCAGCGGAAGACGGACCCGGATGTGGGGGCACCGCTCCGTCCTGACCCAGGCCGGACAACCCCGGTAAGCGTACAGCCCCGTACTCGGGATCGAGGCTGCGCCGGACGGCGCGGGCGGGGCTCACTCACTATTCGGGGTTCATGGCGGCGGCGGTGGCCCGCTCGGTCGCTCCCAGTCAGCTCTGCTCCGCCTCCCGTTCCAAGATGGTGGCCGCTCCGCCCCAGAGGCCCCGCCCGCGATGCGCAGGCGCAAACATTCCCGACTGGGGCCTTGCCGCGTTGCTTCTCGGAACTTGTAGTCTCTTTACTTTGCCGACCACACCCCCCACCCCCGCGCCTGCTGTTGCGCAGGCGTAAACCCGAGGCCGCGTCTCCCAGTCCACGGCCCATCATCGCCCCGCATTGCCTTCTGGGGCTTGTAGTTCGCTCCGTATAGCCGTACCTAGGCTTGAGGACACCTGACGCGTCCCGACCGTGAGGTCAGTTTAGGGCTGGGGTTGACACGTTTCATGTCTGTATGGCAGAGGCAGTCATCCCTACCCTCGCAGTTCCCCGAGTTTTTAGCATCAGAAGTTCACTTATTTGGGGTTCTTGGTGTGCTGGCACTCCTAACTCAGACGCAGCCCCGGGAGGGTGTCGTCACCCACATTTTATAAATGGAAAAGGTCTAGTCTCGGTAACTCGCTCAAGATAAAACAGCTCAGTAAGGGGAAGAGTTCAAAGCCCGCGGTCTCCAGAGCTTAAGTGATGAAGGTTCTTAGAAAAAACTCAACCTGTGAGGCCCCCAAACAAATCCGGGAAAGGAGCAAACTACCTGGGCTCCAGCAGTGCCGAACCGGACGTGAGCGACACACACACGCTCGTTGGCTCTCGCTCGCAGCCTCTCCCGACCTCGCCCCCAATCTAGAGATGCCAGGGGCCCTTGGCCCCCGCCCCCAAAACAAGCCCGGCTCAGATTCAAACGGTCTTTATTTCTACAGCAACATTTGAAAATAGAGAGACCGCCTCACCCCCGCAACTGGGGCAGCCCCTCCTGCCACAGGGGCCATCACTGCCCCTAGCAAGAAGCCGCAGGCGAGGGGAGAGGCGTGGCAGGATGGCTCGACGGGCGGTGCCCGGGGCGGGGTCAGGCCGTGCCTGGGCGGGGCCGGGCGGGAGGGGCAGTGCAAAGGGCCGGGACGCTGGGCGGGACCCGGCGGTGAGAGGACGGGCAAGGGGAGGGCTCTCCGTCCTGGGGCATGGGGCGCTGATGGGGCGCTGATGGGGCTCAACGCGCCCCTCAGAGGCCAGGAGGAGCGCGAGAAGGCCCAGGGAACCCTTTGGGGAGGCGCCGCCCCCCCGAGATGTAGAGCCTGGAAGATACCACCGCGCGGAATGGGGGTGATTAAGGCCTGGGCGGTACCACTAGAGAAGGGCACGGTGAGGGCATAACTGGGCAGTACCGTGGACTGAGGGGAGGGGCGCGGCCAATAACTTATTTCTCTATATACAGAAGCAACGGCCGAGGGGTGGGGGGCAGAAGGGCAGGAGTGCTGAAGGGACCGCAGGTGCTTAGTGTTCTTGGGTCCGGGGGGGGGGGGGGGCTGGGGAGGGCGGGCCCCTGAGTCTCTATCTTGGAGACTCTGGCCAGCCTCTCACCTGGCCCCGAACCTAAAGAGGGGGCCCTGCTGGATGGAATAAATAAGGGCCGGAGCTGGAGCGGGCAGGCCCAGCCTCCAGGGCTCAGGCTGAGATGACAAGGGAGGAGGTTACCCTGAGATTGAACAGAAAAGACGGGGGTTCTTGGGAGAGACAGGTGGGGCAAGCAGCAGGCCCATGCGAAGGGCTGGGGGTGGGGTCAGTGCCGGGTGAAGGCTCTGGCAACTGGCTGCCCTTTCAGGATTAACCCACGAGGGAGCTTCGTCGGGAGAGGTCCATGGAGCTGGAGCTGAGGGTGCGGCTGTCGGAGAAGCCGGTAGCTCCAGGCTGTGGGCAGAGCAGGCAGGTGGCTCAGTGTCGTGCTGCTGCCCGGACAGGGCCCAATCAGCCAGAGTCCCTGGCCCTCCCGCCCACCTCCACAGTCACTGTGTCCGCCCTGGCCACTTGCATGTCCACCCCCGGCAGGAGCTGGGTTTCCCTCATTTGTCTTCCCAGAGTGCAGCCCAAAGCCAGGCCCGGCAAGAGCTGGAAAGGTTTCAAGATGGACCGACGTGACCGACAAGCTCGGCCAGTACACAGGACATGGTTTCTGGGCCCTGGGGCCTGGGCCTCACTGCCCAGTACCCCCACACCCACCCAGCCATACCTGGACGGGCTCCTCCACACTCTTGTTGAGGAAGTTGAGGGAACTGGCCCGCTTCATCCTGAGGAGAAAGGAACGCCTGGATTTGCCAAGGGTGGAACGGGGTGAGGGAGGAGGTGGGAAGGGGTCAGGTGGGGGCTGGAGACGGAGGCTGACGGGAGGGGAGCAGATCTGGTGGGTGGTGGAGCTTACGGGAGATGAGGGAGTTCACCTGGGTCAGGAGCTCATCTGGGGTTGGTGGGCTACCTGGTGGCTTCTTGGAAGGCTCACCTGGGGTTAGGAGGCTCCTGGGGGCCACCACCCTGCAACTTCTTCACCAGCATCTCACTGCTGCGCCGCAGGGCATCTCGGAGCTTCCCAAAGGAGCCGCTGCGCCGCAGGGAGCCACTACCGTCCTGCGGGGCGGACCAGTCTTTCTCTCTGCCACACTGACAACCCCTCTTCCTGGCCCGGCCCAGCCCCCAGACTCACCCCGCTCCACTCAGCTGCAGGCCCTGCCTCCTCAAAGTCAGACTCAGGCCGCGCCCCGGCACCCCCTGCCGCATCTCGGCTGCCCCGGCGGTCTCCACGCCCGCCGCTGCCATCTTTCAGCAGTTCCACCACCTTGGTCTGGCTTGCGGGGTCCAGGCCCTGAGGGAGGAGCAGGGCGTATCGGCTGGAGCCCTGAATCCTGACGGGAACACGCACGGCCACCCAGGTCCCTGCCCACACCCCCCCATGCCTATTGGCCCACCTGCTTGCGGCTGCGGCTGGCACAGTCCTCCAGTGTATGTGCAGCTTCTAGCTTGCCCTGGCGCCGGTACAGGGCCCCCAAGCTGCGCAGGGTGGTGTTGACTGTGGGGCTGTGGACGGGACAGCAGGGTGGTGTCCAACTCCGTGTTCCCCGAGGAACCATCCCGCCGACCAGAATCTCTCCCGTCTTGTGTCCAGCCCTGTGCTAGGCCTACTTAGACTCTCCTGTCTTGGAATTACCCCAGGTTTCCAGGGTTGGGAACCTGGTCCCAGAGCCCTAAGTGGGATGTTGCCACCAGGACTAAAAGCTGGGAGACCCAAGGGCAAGATAATCGGGCTGTCCCAGTACAGAAAGCCTTTTTGGGACAGGTGGCCTATGACTCAGTTCTCGAAAGACAAATTGACACAGAGGTGTGTGTGTGTGCGCACGCGCACGCATGAGCATTATGCAGCGCAAAGCTTGGACTAGGCCCCCACCCAGGATGCTGCTTCCCTGCCGTCTGTTCCAGTTCCAGCCGTGCCCTGCCGTCCTCACCTGTCTACTTTACAGGCCTTGTACCAGCTGCCATATTCCCCGTAGGGGGTGCTGTCCCGGCGCTTGTCCTGGAGGAAGGAATGGTCAGGGGAGGTGGCAGAAGCCCCTTCCCTCTACACATCCCTCAGCTCACCCTGCCTCCCCAGAACACCCCAGCCCTGCCCACAGAGCTACCTTGCTCTCCTCCCGTTCTTCCGCGTGCATCCAGATGGGCTTGTTGTCCCCTGGGGGGAGAAAGGGGGCCGTCACCAGCCTCCCATATAGGCTTCTCCTGGTTGAAACATAGGACTGGGGTCTGGGGAGGGGGTCGGGGGTACCCAAGAAGGATCAGGATTGGGCTTTGTTGAATGAATGAAGGTATGAATGAATGAATGAGTGAACAAAAAACAGACTCGAAACAATACTGACCCTCTTCTGGAACACGGAGATGACATGGCGCGGGCCTGTGTTTGAGGGGCTTGGGACAGAGGGCTGGGGGGAGCGGGTCCTTAAACGCCTCAAGTCCACAGCCTGGGACACATGCTGGGCCTGAATGACACCCAGGCTGGGCGACCCCAGAGAAGGAAACGACTGACCACTGGGGGCCGGAAGGTGGCTTCCCAGCCGGGAAAACATCCGGGGTGGGCCCTCATGGTGAGCAGGAATCGCCCAGCGGAGGAAGGGGAAGACTCTGCTAAGGGCATACGCAGCGCCGGCAGGACCCGTGAGGCTGTGTGAGTTGGGCGCGTGTGTTCACACGTGCGTACACACGGCTGGGAACCAGCCAGACCCCACAAGGGCTCAAGTATTTGAGCCAAGGGCCAAGCTCAAGTATTTGCCCTGGGTGCTAATGGCCGGCCAGGCTTGCGCTGTGTGAGCCGGGGGCACATGGTGGTCTGAGCCTCACCATTGACGGAGCCGAACTCTTTCTCGTGGGCGCGGGTGAGGATCTCCTTGTACAGGGTCTCTGCGTCCTGGTACTTGCCCTGCTTCAGGTAGCAGGAGGCCTGGAGGAAAGGGCCCAGAGAGCGAGCGGGGATATGAGGAGCTGAGCCCTCTCCTTCCTTTCCCTTCACTCCTGCCCTCACCCCGCCCCACTCCCGGCTCAGGGTACCAGGTTGTTCTTGGTCTTGGCCACGTTGGGGTCATCAGGCCCAAGGCGGGTGGCGTAGATCTCCAGGGCCCTGCGGTAGTAGTGCTCCACCTCCTCGGCTTTGCCCTGGTTCTGGCACAGCAGGGCCAGGTTGCTCAGCTGCTTGGCCACGTCCGGATGAAACTTGCCCAGGACCTAGGATAGGAGCGGAGCCGGCGGCTGGGCTCAGGGCTGCCCGCAGCCCCTGCCTGCTAGGCCCTGCCGGCCTGCCCAGCCCTGCCTGCTCCCACCTTCTCTCGGATTTCCAGCGCCCGCTTGCACAGGGGCTCGGCCTCTTTGTACTTGCCCCGCTTGCCATACAGAACTGCCAGGTTGTTTAATGTTGCGGCCACCTGGGGGGGGGGCAGAATCGACGCTCAGTGACCCAGGGCCCTGCCCAACGCAGGGCAGGGGGCAGCCCCCACCTCCCACCCACTCTCACTCACAGCTGGGTGGTCTTTGCCCAGTGTCTTCTCACGGATGGCCAGGGCATCGTTGAGCAGGTGGGCAGCCTCTTTGTACTTGTTCTGGTCCCTGAGTGCAGGCAGAAGCATGGTGAGGGGTGTCCTCCTGCCCAAGGCCCTCCCCCTGTTGGTCCCAGGTCCCCAGGGTCACTCCTCTGGTATTTACTGATGAGTGGATGCGATTATGATGCAGGGGTTGGGGAGACCTGGTCAGCCTCTGCCCCCCAGGGGTTTGGGGGGACTTTGAACAGTTTACTCACAACTCACCAGGGCATCGAGTACTGGGATATGAAGTGCCAGACTCCCCAGGATTTTACCCCAACTTCCTCAGGCCCAGTGCACCTTGTTGTCTACTCCCCAGGGCCTTTGCTCATACTGTTCTTTCCAGCAAGGAAAACTTTTCCAACCCTCTCATGTTCTGGGCAACTCCTCTTTCACCAAAGACTTTTTTTTTTTTTTTCTTTTTAATTTTCTCCCCAAAGACCTGGGCTGCCTCCCTTGTGTCCTTAGAGTCCTCATCAGGTGCTGTCCCCATCCCTAGCTATGCCCAAGCCTTTCTCCTCCAATAAGTCTATCTGTAGCCCAGACTCAGGGAGGCCCTAGGCACCCCATAGGCCCAGGCCTCTCTGGGCATAAGCTCCTCATTTGCCGCCGGGCTGCCTGGTAGAGCCGAGCTGCCCAGTCCTGGCCCACAGCAGGGACCGGGGGTTTGTGACCCAGGGCTGGAGCCCTCAGGCAGTGTGCAGACTCCCACGGATGCTTGTGACCAGAGGCGCCCTCACCGATAGACCAAAGCCAGGATGTTCAGCATGGTGGCGACGTCAGGGTGGTCGTGGCCTGAGGTCTTCTCCAGGTCCTCGAGCGCCTGCTTGCAGAGTGGCACGGCCACCTCGTAGCGGCCCTGGGAGGCGTACTGAATCACCAGGTTGTGTAGCGTGCGGAGCCGCGCTGGGATTTCATAGCCCCCGTGCTGGGCAGCCACATCCCCTCCTCCAGGGCTGGGGGCTGCAAGGCCAAGGGCAGACCAGGTGTACCGACTGCCCCCCAGGGTGGGGCTGGCACATGCAAGCCATGCCTTTGACCTACCCGACAAGTCACTAGCTATTCTGCCTCAGTGTCCCCATCCATAGAGTGGGTAGAGTCCTAGCCACAATCCCTCAAGCTGTGTGTTGTAGAGCAAGCCGCCTAACCCCCCAGCCGCAGCCTCCCATCTGCAGGAGGGAGACTTGGACTTGGGGGCTCGACGCCATTAGCAAGCCGAGCACGGGCCTTGGGCTCAGCCCTGTGCATGCGTCTTCCTTAACCCTCAGAGGAGGCTGAGAGGGAGAGAAACCAGTGGTCCCAGGATGACTAGTGGCAGAGCACGACTTGAGCCCGGGCCAGGCTGCTCCAAAGCTCTCCACTGCGATACCTGTTCCTCAGAGCTTAGGGGGAGAGAAGCAACATGTGAGACCTGCCTGACGACTCCAGCATGCTGGGCTGTGATGATCAGAAACGCGGCGGGAAAGAACACGGTGGACTTTTGGTCACCGTTTCTGGTGACCGCTGGGTCCCAAGGACAAGGAGTTCCCACAGCTCCCCCCTTCCCCCTCCCCAGAACCAGCCACCCCTCTGCACCTGGGCTCTGCTCCTCCTCGTTGGGGAACAGGTCATCCAGTGAGTCTTTGGGGACATCCCCCTTCTCCTCCTGAGGACAGAATGACTGTCAGGGAAGGAGGGGCATGGCGGCCCAAGTGTCAGTGGCTGGGTCAGAGCCCAGTGGACTCCGTGTCCCTCCCTGCTCCCAGGCCCCCCGCCCGATGGCCCTGCAGCAGCCGTGGTGGGGGCTTACACTGGGGGACGTGTCCTCATCCAGCTTGCGGATCTGGCTCATGAACAGCAGGTGCTGCTTCTCCTCCTCGAGCTGGGCCACGGCCTGCTCGCTGCGCTGCAGCTTCTGCTGGGTTCCGGCCAGTTCCTCTCGCAGCCACTGGTTCTCCTGCACTAGACGCCGCACCTGAGCCCGCAGCTTCTGCTTTTCTGACTCCACGGCCCCCAGGTGGCTCGACAGTGCCAGGATCACCTGTGGTGCCAGCCAGCCAGGATGAGGGCTAGTCTCGTCCACCCCCAGCCTCGGCCTCCTGGGGTGCCGGGGCCTGGCCCTGCCTATAGGGCTGAGGGCCACCAAGTTCTCCTTTCATCAAGGGAGTTTCCCCCGAAGGCCCCAAATAGACCCTAGTCCAAGACCTGAACCCAGGAGGTTTGGGACCACCCCCCCCAACCCCACCCAGTTCCTTCCTGCTGGGGTCAGGCCCTGGGTTCCCAGGCTGGCTCTGCTGGACTCGGAGAAAGTCCATCCCCTCCCCTGGGCCTCTAGCTAGTCCTCTGCATTAAAACTCCCGGTTCCCACCTCACTGACTTGATCACAAAGAGGGCTAGCTTGGGTTCTGCGCTTTCCCTGAGCTAGCTGTTCTCTTCCTTTGTCTCTCCTGGGGGTTGTACCTAAGCTCTGCTGCCACAGCCACTATCCCAGTGCCCTTTACCCCAGGGCTAGCAATTTCCTAAGAACCCTAAGAAGTGGCTGAAGGGACACGGAAAGACCCCATCCTGATATCTGCCAAGGTAAGCCCCTGGTCTTATGCAGCTCCTAGAAAGGAGAGGTGTATGTGTCCCAAGCCCCCTGGGAACCAGAGGGGAAGGGGACCCAGAGGCCTCAGCTTCAGCCCCTACCCGTCTTTCCAACCTCTAGGACTCTTTTCCTGAGCCCTTAAGTTCTTCCTGCCTTGGAGTCTCGTACAGGCTTTATTCTTTCTCCACCCTTCACAGCCAGGGTCATTCCTGCAGCCCCAGGAAAGAAGGGCACTTTCCCTCCATGCCATCCTCTTGCCCATCTGTGTCGGTGTCTGCGTGTACTAGGAGGGGGACCCCTCTGTGTTTCTCTCCATACCCGGCAGCCAACCTGCCAAGGAGGGAATGACCAGCACACTGCACTGCCACAGGGCCAGGCCGTCTGGGACCCCGCACTTTCTAGTTGACTAGCAAATGCGTAAGTGACAGGTGTTTTCACAACCACTAGCTTTTTAAAAAATTCCCTAAACAGCCTGGAAGTATACACAGCAGATGGCATGAGCCCTATTTTAAAGACAAGGAAACCAAGATGATACCACCTGGCCAGGATTTATGGAGCCAGACGGCATCTCAGCCAACACACTGCCCTGGAGAAAGTGTGTACTCCTTGTCCACCTCTTGTCCGCCTCCTGAATTATCTCCATCAACATATCGTCCTGGCAGCCCCAGTGTCGAGAGGACCAAAACAGAACCCCTGGTCATGTGGGCTTTCTTGCCCCCTTCACTTGCTCCAACCACAATCTGGGTTACTCTGCCCTCCTCTCTCTCTCCCTCTCTCCCTTATTTCACCTCCAGGTCCTGCTGGACCCACCTCCAGAACATCCAGAACACCCAGAACCAGGTCCTTTCTCTCCTCCCTCACAGCCACCTCTGTAGTCCAGGCTACCATTCCTCATTTGAATTCTGGCAGTGGCTTGCTAGCTACCTGCCACCTGCTTCCATCCTTGATGCGCTCCATATGGTTCATTCTCCACCCCTCAGCCAAAGGGAGTTTTTATTTTAAGACTCTTTTATTAAAAGTAATTTCTACACCCAACAAGGGACTTGAACTCACAATCTCAGAATCAAGAGTCACATGTTTTACTGAATCAGCCAGGCACTCCCAAAGGAAGCTTTTAAAATCTAAGGCGGACTGTATCTTTTGACTACTGAAGCCCTCCAAAGGCTTCCTGCTTTTCTGAGAAATACGACCCAAACTACTAAGTTGCAGCATGATCTGGCTCCTGCCTTGGCCACAGGCCTCTCCTGTCCCTCTCCTTCCCCAGAAAGCTCTGGTTAGACAGGTCTTCTCTCTTTTCTCCCACCACAAGATCTTTCCTATCTCAGGACCTTTGCACATGTAACCTCTTGCCTCCCTCCCTTTTCTGGAGGCCAGTTCATTTCTTTCTTCAGGTCCTGGCTTAAATGTCACTTCCTTAGAAGTCTTCCCTGACCCATAAATAAGACCTCCGGCTTTAAGCTATCTCAGGATCTTGTTCTCTGTGTAGAACTTAATCACAATATGTAACAAATGTTCGTGTGTTTCTGACTCTCTCCCCAGTAGATTAGGGCAGAGATCTTGTCTCTTGTTGGACCTGTGTCTCTGGCACATAACAGATTGCCTGGCACATAGTGGGCACTTGATAATTTACCTGTAAAGGAATGAATAAGAGAATGAATGGGGGAGGGGGCGGTTCTTAAGGATCTCCCTTTTTGTTCTCCTATGCTTTTGGCCTCTGCTACCCATCAGAGAAGTCAGGAACAGGGTTCTGCATGGGGACTAAAGGATGATCAGGCTCTTCTGAGGCAAGGAGCAGCTGGGGTTTTCAAAGCCGGTTCATTTTTCACCAGATATTTACTGAGGTCTTACCCTGGGCTCCAGAGGCCACATGGTTCCCTGTTCCGGTTCTGTTCCTACACTGCCAGGATTCCTCTGGAAGGCTCCATCCCTCCCGTAACCTCCCACCTCAGCATCCCACACCAGCCTACCTGGGCCTCCCCCAGACCCAGCTCGATGGCTTCCAGGGAGCGACGCAGGAGGACACATCGCTCCTGTGAGCCGGGCTCCGCCTCGCCAGCTTCATGAGCTACCAAGGGAGCGAGAAGGGCACGATGCTCCCCGCGTAGGGTCTCCAGGCCTTGGATGACGGCCTTGGTGCCCAGCACAATCTCATCCTGGCTCAGCTTCTCCTCCCGCGGAAGCACCATCGTAGCCATGGCGTGCCGCCTGTGAAGGCGAGGGGGCGGGCAGGCGAGTGCCGGGCCTGGGGCCACACCGCCGTCCGCCCCGAATTAGGTAAACACCTCCGGTCCCAGGACGCCTGGGTCCCCAGGGTGCCCGGGTCCCCTAGCCGGCAACCCACACCGTGACCGCGCTCGACCTACAGAGGGCGCGCCCAGCTCGTCTCGGCCGGGGAGACGCAATGCGGTGAGGCCGGTGAGGCTGGACCCGGATTCGGCCCAGACCACCGGCTCAGGCCGGCTGGGGACTTCCCCGGGGACGCCCCTAGCCAGGACAGGGAGCGCTGGAGGACGGTCCTACAGGGATCGTGGAGGCTCACTCCCGTGCAGGAGACCCCGGCGCCTCTAGGGGATGCAGCCCCAACCCCTCGGGCAGCCCCTTCCCCAACAGGCAGGCCGAGTCACAGAGCCCCTCCTCTAGGGAAGGCCGCCCCTTGGGAGACCCTTCCCCTAGAGGGCCTTGAGATATCGGCTTCTTCGTCCACCTCCCACCCAGGCCGCGCCCACAATGACCGCTCCCCAGAAGCCGGCGCGACGCCCCGCGGACCCCCCTCCCCTGAAAAGGCCGAACTCCCGCCCCCGGCCACCAGGACCGCGCCCCCTCCCAGCAGGCCGGCCTTGTTCTCCCACAGCCTGCGCCCACGACGACCCCTCCCCTAGGCCGACCCAGAGGCCCGTCTCCCGACCTGATCCGCCCGCGCGGACCTACGCCTTCGGCTCGGGCCGGGATCCTGCTCAGGTTCCGGCTCCCGCCCCGCTTCACCCGGACCCGCACCCGTGAGCGGGTCCCGCCGCCTCCATCCCGCCGGCCTTCCCAGCAGTCCCCGCGCCGCCTTAAAGGTGAAGCCTCTACCTCGGCGGCGTCGGAGGGGGCGAAACGCGCTCTTCTCTTCCCGCAGGCTGCCTTAAAGGAGCGCGCAGGCCGGAGTCGCTTAGGGCTGGGGCGGGGGGACTGGGGCGGGGCCATGAGATGTGGGGGCGGGGTCACTGCGGGGGCGGGGCGGGGGCTCCCCGAGGCACCGGTTCCCAAAGGCCACCACCCCTACCCCCGCGGCCTCGGATTCCTCAACTGTACACCGCCCCGAGGCCGCAGGGGTGTGCAAAGGCTCGGGAGATCCTAACCCTGAATGCACCCAGTGCCACGGCCAGAGAGGACAGCGGCGGAAACCGAGGCGCAAGAAGAAGGCCTGGCCTCCTCCGAATACAGAACCAGACTTTTGACATTTATTGACATTTATCGAGGTAGTTGCCACTTCCTGAGCGCTTACTGTATGTCGGACGCCTTGATGCTTTAAGTGCATGTACTCATTTAATGCCCACAAAGACCCAATGAACCGAGCACTGCTGTTACCGGCGTCTTCCAGGTCTGATCCCAGGCCCCTTTGTCTATACAGACTAGTTATGCCCCTCGCCCAACTTTCAGAACTGTTTATGTCCCTGTGGGATTCGCAGTAGTTTAGGGCTGCTTCCTAGGGGAAGGGCTTCTTGGCCCTAAGGGAGAAAAAGTTGACGAAGGGCACCTGGGCATCTCTGGAAACAGACAGTCTTGTCCCTGTGGGTGAATGACCACAGTGATGTCTGTTGACCACTCTGCCCGGGCTCAGAGTAAATGTCACCTCCTCAGAGAGCCTTCTCTGATCCCTGACTTCCCATAGAGCCCCCTCCTACACCTGTTTCTCTCTGTAGAACTTAGTTCTTCTAATATTTTTCTTGTTGGTTTTCTGTCTCCTCCCCAGAACGCAGCCCAAGACCTGCCAGTCATGTTCACTCCCTCAGTAGCCCCTGGCCAGCCACACAAAAACAATTAGTAAATGTTGGTTAAAAAAAAAAGTGTGGGGGCGCCTGGGTGGCTCAGTCGTTAAGCTCTGCCTTCAGCTCAGGTCATGATCCCAGGGTCCTGGGATCCAGCCCCACATCGGGCTCCCTGCTCAGCGGGAAGCCTGCTTCTCCCTCTCCCACTCCCCTGCTTGTGTTCCCTCTCTTGCTTTGTCTCTCTGTCAAATAAATAAATAAAATCTTTTAAAAAGAAAAAAAAAATGTGGGAGGGGGCACCTGTTGGCCTTGCCAAATCCCTTCCAGGCCCAGGTTTTGGTCTGATGCTCTGCAGCTCTGGATTGGTGGCTACTCTGGCAATGCCCCCACTGCCCCTAGGTTGATATCACTAGTGGGCAACAGCAGGATAACCCCCTGAGGTACAAGCCCTGCATAACAACGCCTGGCACTGGTCACCGGAGATCTGGGATGTTCCTTACGAGTCCTTGTATTCAGACCCAGAGTCCCCCAGGTTCAGTGTCCCAGTGGATGCCAGAATCCCCTTGACATCATCTCTGCCAGGGAGAGGTCCTACATCCCTAGGTCAAGGATGTCCTTTGACAGGGAGCTCACCACATTCTGCTGTGAGACTGATCTAAAGGTTAGGAAGTTCTCCTTAGCTCAGAAATTACCTTCCAAGCTCAAGTTCTATCTTCAGGAAAAATAGCTTCTTCTCTTTTCCTAGTGGAGATATTCGAAGACCTCTGTGGTCCTCCACCCAGTCTTCTTGCCTGTCCTGACAAACCTATCCCTTTACCCTCCCTGCTCCAGTTTCCTGACCCTTCTCCATTCCAGTTTCTTTTTTCGGGGTGTATTTTAGGTTCAATCCAGAGCCTGCTCAGAATGTGGTGCTCAGTCAGTCCAGGGCTCAGGGATCCAGCCAGGGAGTGAACTTCACGGATCACAGAGGGATAGTCCGCCCTTAATGACAGTGCCACCTGCCCAGTGTGAAGTTGGAGGCCAGGCTAAGTTTGACAGCCACCACACTGGGTCTGCTCAGGGTAAGCTTGTCGGCTAAAATCCCAGACTGTGTGCCTCCCAGTTCCGTCCCTCCAGGTTCTTCCAAGTTCTGAGCTCCTGCCCGTTATTTTCTTCCCCAGTGATTTTTGAAGGTAGCTAGTATAGTTCTACAATGCAAAAGTCAAAAGGCACCTGCAAGTTACAGTGCCCTATACTTCTTTCTTTCTGATGGCGGTCCTCAGCCCTTCAGCTCTTCTTCCCAGGATCTCCTACTGTTTCCAGTTTCCCGTGTTCATCCATTAGGTTGTGTCCCTTAGTGTTGAACTTGGGTTTGCCCTTGTCAGTCTTCCTCCAGGCCCCAGCAGGTTGGAGTCTTTAGTGTTTGGGGGTCTGTCTTCCTTTAGCCCTCCTCTCGGCTTTTTCTCCCAGAGGAGGGCTGGCTGCAGTGTGATAATCTGACCTGTGCCACATACTGTGATGCATTCCCAACTTGACAGCAAGTTCCTGGAGAGGAAACGGGAATCTGGAGCTCAGGGCCCCTTTGTCAGTCTTATTGAGGCTCAACTTGGGAATGTCTTGTGAAAGGGGCTTCATCGGAAGGTTCTTCTAGAGATTAGGATTCGGTGGTGCCACGTGGATCCTGGGTATCTCCTATTATTTTAAGCCTTCGGTGGTGCCCCGTGCTGTGCGTCCTGGGTTGAGAGCCACCGCTTAAAATGTTTTTGTTCTACAGGTAAGGAAACTGAAGCCGGGAGAGGGGAAGGCAGCTGCGCATGCAGAGAGAGCGTGCTGTAGTCGGGGAGCTCAGGCTCCCAGTGATCACCACATCCTTCTCTCATCTATAGTCCAGCTTATTTTGCTGCATTGTGTAGGGGAGACAGACCACATAGAGTAGAGGTCAAGAGAACCGAGGTCCGATTGCTTGTATACACCCTCAACACGGCCTCACGCAGGTCCACCCGGAAGCCCTGAATGGACACTTGTCTGCCACATGCACGTGGAGGTGTGCCTGTGTTTACAGGCCCACGTAAGGACCATACCACACACACCCAAGCACAAACACACAGCCACAACCCCTGCCTTTTTCCCTTGTGCTTTCTCTCAGTCTAATAGTGCACATTCCTTTTGTCATCTTTTTCCATGTAAATGGAAAGAGCATTTTTCAGTCTCCGTTTATGACTTCTGCCGGATTCCTGCTCCGGCTTTTCTGCTCTCCGCAGGGTTCTGGGCTTTCTTTGTGATTCTCTTTGGCCATCCTGCCCTGCTCCTCCCTGTGTGCTGAGTGGGGGTGGGGGTGGGGGTCTGCCCTCTCGGGTTCTCGGGCTCTTATCTTGCTTTAAAGCGCTTAATCTTGCCTGTGTCCAACCTTCTCAGCCACTTGGCTTCTAATCTTGTCCCTGAGGGTTCTGCTGTGCTCATCCCAGGGGAAGAGACTGTTACTTCATCCAGCTCTGCTCTGCATTCCCCCTGCAGCTGCTGGTCTCCTGCCAGGCTGCTGATGGGTGCTCTGTTAGCGGAGAAAAAGGGAGGAGTCTATGCCCAGTGGTGATTCAGCTCCTTATGCCATTTTCTGCAGAGCTTATCAGCTTGCCCCTGCCTGTCCCATGCCTGGGGGGGTTGTTTTTGCTACTTTTAATGTTTTCTCCCTTAAAATCACTCCTCCTGCTCCCACCCCTTCCCCTTGGATCCTCAGAAGCACCCATTCCATTGAAATCTGCTTTCTTAAATTTTTCTTTTTCCTTTGGCTAGCGTCACTACTTTTCTTGGAAGTGTTTGGGGGGCACTTTTGCCAAGCATATCTTCCACCTGGAAATGTCAGCAGGTTCATGACGTGCTCAGGATTGGAGGCTCCTTCAAGATCGTGTCTCCTTTACGTGACGAGCAGCTCACTGCTTCCTGAGGGACTCGTTCTACTGTGAACACCCCTGGTTGTCCATTCTTTCTGCCCCTGAGTCAAGAGTCCAGACTGCTTAGAGCTCCCCGGAGAGGCTCCTGATTCCTATCCTGGTAGCCACTTGGCAAACCGGTTCCCTCTCTTCCTTGTGACCTCCCAGCCAGACGAGAGGTGTCCTCACCCTGCTCAGTGAGAGGGCACACAGGCTTTGGGGTCATCCTCAGCTAGGTTCAATGCCATATTTCTCCATCTGCCCGCTGTAGGGCTTTGCGCATGCTCTGTAACTTCCATTTCTTTCCTCATTTGTAAAATAAAGCTCCTCATACTTACCTCTTTGGGTCCTTGCAGAAATAGAATAAAACAGCAGAGTTAAGATCTTAACATTAGGCCTTGTATACGTAACAGACACTGTTACTAGTAGTTATTTAGGATTATTATCACCACCAGCCTTACTGTTGGATCGACCCGTTGCTAGCGGACGGAGAGTGGGGAGAAAGCATACGAAATATTGGGCGGTCTCTTAAGGTGTTGGAAGGAAAACACATTCGGGATGAAAGCGAGCAGTAAAAGAGGCAGCAAATGGAAAGGCGTGTCTGGATACAAGTGCTAAGCTGTCTGGTGCTGGTCGGGATGGAGAGAGCTCCGCCCAGCCAGGGGTGTTCTCACCTTCTCTGTCCAGTCAGTTCCCCTGTGTGTTCAGGACGCCCCAATCTCCGTCTAACCCAGATCACTGCCCTGAGCTCCGTCCAGGCCTATTTTCAACTCCAATTGAACACTAACCTCTGAGCAGCACAGAGCATGCTTGCCCTGAGCTCACCATCTCCTGCCCAAATCTCTTCCAGGAATGTACCACCCTCTGCCGGTTCACCTTGAGCAGACAGCCAGCCCCTCTCCTTGTCTCTTTCTCTTTTGACCCAATTTCCTCCCCAGCCACCTACCCCTACTGATTTTACCTCTTAAATTGAATGAAAATTTCCATTCTCCTGCAGCTCTCCTCCCTTTACCATTGTCTATGTCTCTGTCACATCTTTTCTCAATTGCTGCAACACCCTTCCAGCTCTTCTGGTCTTCAGTCTTGTTTCCTCTAATCTGTTGTCACAAGGTGATCTTGCTAAATTCCCTCATCTCACTACCCTGGCTCTCCACTGATCTCAGGAAAAAGTGCACGGCCC